TAAACCCAGTACAATTAGAGTAGTATATACTGAGAACTGCACTTTCAGTACACAGGAAGAACTGTGGGTGAATTCTGAGGTTGTCCTTCTTTATGGAAGGATCTATTTGAGTTTATCCATGTTTCCCTATAGTCTTTCATTACAAGGTGAACTTAGAGGCGAAGTTATGTTATTTGATACTCTACTATCAGCCTTCTGACTGCAGAAGGTTAACTCTAGAGTACTTTCTAGTAAGGCCCTTTTGCCCATCTGAGTTGCTGTGGTAAAGTTCATTAAGCTTCTTGGTCTCAGGGAGGATAACTATGCGCTAGCAGTCTGAAGGGCACTTTTCTGGCGTCCCACACATTGCCCCTTCTGTGGATATGTCCCAAGTCATTCCATGTAAGCCAAGGGATCATTGCAGGGTTGTTCATATCCCATTCTTATAAGACAGAGGGAGAGAGAGGGAATTCCTTATGAAGGGATACTTCAGGTTGTACTCGCAGAACAGAGCTGCGAAGTTTTAGGCGTAAAACCTGGTGTGAACCGCAACGTGTCCGTTGTTTACAGTCAGGTTTTGGGAGCTCTTTGTTGGGAAGGAAGGGAATTGGACAGCCAGGGCAGTGAGAGGTAGACACTGGAAAGCAAAATGGATTTAGTCCTGATGTAGCCATCTGGACATTTTATCTTCTCATGCCATGGGTAACTTTCTTCGTGTTCTCCAGAGGAATACCGTATTGCTTTGCTGGGAATTATTCAAGAAAGGCAAACTAAAAGTGAGTATCTACATCTCAGCACTAGGTACTGAATAACTACCAAAAGTGAAAATTGGCAGGAACTCAAAGCTGACACCATTTCATAATATTTGGTGGCTTCTGGATAAATACCTTTATCAGTAGAGAAGCCAACAGAAACATCTAATTAAGGGTTTTAGTACAGTGAAGGCTCTCCCCCATTCCAGTCCTTTACTCTTAATGTCAATGTTCCATGTTTTGCAAATATGTCTTTCCAGCCACTACAGCCTGTAATAATCACTTTGGTTTTTTTAATTTCATGTAATGCATTGGCTTTCATTTCTGTTCCTGTCTCCTGGCATTAGGTGGAGTGGATTTCTCCTTTGTGCCATTGCAATGCTCCTTGTGATATTTCCCATGTTTACCTTTCCGAAAAAACTCCCTCCTCGACATAAAAAAAAGAAAAAGAAAAAGAAGATGAACCCTGATGATGTTTCAAGTGATGATGAAGTGATGAAAGAGAAAACAAATAGCAAAATACAAGCAGACAATGCAGTTCCTGCCTCTATGGGATTTGGAAAGAATGTTAAAGGTGAAGTTTGTTTTTAATTTTTAAATGCTTTCAGTTTTGTACACAGGGTCATCTGGGATTGTATGAGTGTAATTGAAGGCAGAGTTTTGACATCTGTATTTAATATTAAGTTCTGCTATTGAGATTTTAATAGATGGTCGTCTTCTAAAATTATGAAATGCAGTGATGAATGTAAGGCATCCATTTACTTAAATTATTGAAGTATTTAATGTGCACCTGCAACAAAGGTAGCCTATTTCCTATAGATACAGGACCTCCATTATCAGACATATTTGTGCACCTTACAGTTCATAACTGTCATACTTGCTTTAAGCTGTCCTTCACAGAATAAAGTACTCTTCTAAAAATAAGTGGAACAAATAAAAAGAATTCTAATATGTGAGTTCACTTACATTCATGCATTTGGGTAAGTTAATTGAGAAAGCTTATTTGTTTCATACGCCTGTCCTGGCTATTTTATACTGGAAACTATTTGTTTTCAGAAGGCTAGGACAAATGAAACCTGTGTTAATTTTGAAACAAGAGGAGGCAAGTAATAGAGATTTTTATTTTATTCAAGAAGTAAACCATTAATGCAAAATCTAACTGTAAGTAGTAATCACTGATAAAATGCCATGGGAGAAGGGCAGTGTTGTTAAAAATTAATTAATGTGAAGCATATACATTCAGAGTTGACAATATAGGCTTAACTGTCGTAATGTTGAATAGTATAAGACAGCAATGAATGCGCCTTAATGGCGTTGTGTTGTCAATGCTGTTGTGTCCTCCTTGGATTCTATGATAGGAATGCGGGTTGTGCCATTGTGGTAGCCTGATGAATGCAGTGGGTCTAGGAGAAATCATGAAGTGTCATTTGTACCAATAGATGGAATTTGAACTCGAAACTTTAAAGTGTTTGTTTGCGGCCATGAACATTAGTGTTACTTTTTCACTGGATATCAGTCTAGGATATAATGATTGGCAGATTTTGTAATGACACATTTATGATCGCTTTTTATATTGAGTAGGCAAGGCTTAGCAAAACCAGTGTAATTCTAAGTAATGTGTGCCCACGTGCATATTGATTTGCTCTAATTGCATTTACACCTGTATTCTCAGAGTACCTAAAGTTGCTATTGGTTTCTATGGAAGTAAAGAAAAAATTTTTTTTTTTACTAAAAAAAAATTTTTTTTTTTACTAAAAGACCAGAATTTGTTTGTGGTGATTTTATTAGCTTACAAAACAGCATCCTAATCAAGGCACAGAGCAAGCAAGGTAAACCTGCAATATCGGATCTTTCAGAACCATGTTCTCCCTTTGTTTGCAAAGTAGCTAAAAAAGTGGTGGAGAAGCAAGAAAAGGAAGTTGTCTACTTCCTTCTTTGAAGACTCTTTATTCCCCATTTTTGTGAGTCCCCGTGCATAATGTTTTCTCCTAAATCCATAAAGCTAGTTGTGGGTTTTTTTGGCCTTCAAATCTACTGGCCTCTGATTAGCAAAAGTAGTTCAGGGTTGCTCCTGTCAAGGTTTTCTCACTAACTTAGGGAAGTGGGAAAGGGGAGTTCTGTCTTTGCTGAGCTCCTTCCTAATTGTTACAGGCAATGTCGCAGCAAAGAAGCTGCTTCATCCCATAGGCGTGCCTGGAAAAGATAGAGATGTTCAGACAAACTCTGTGTCTGGATGAGTTTGCTGATGCTCATTCTCTGTTTCTGTACATAATTTCACCTTCTAGGTCATGTTGTGTCACTACAGGCACAGCAGATACACAGAAAACAAGGATTCTCTTGGGACAACGCTTCCTGGTACTTTTTTTTCACAGAAATGAAAACTTCTGTATATCTCATTTTAGCATGTGTTTCTTTGATATGTCTCTGCCTAAATGTGTACCGTACCTTCTACAAAATTCCTATATTAATATTTTAACGGAACTACCAAATTAGAGCTTTACATGTACAAAACTTTTAATTTTCTCTAGAGGAGAAACTTCACCACGTGGAACAGTGAAAAGCAGCATTGTATTCCACATCAGAAAGATACCAAGCGAGTTGAGATAATGCAGAGAAAAGTCTTTTGCTATAAGCTGATAATAACTTTCCCATTAGGTGTCATTTACCCTAGCAAAGAGGGCCAAAAAAACTATCATTTAATTATTTTTCAAGTTTAAGTGGACTTTATGGAATGAGATCATGCCTCAAGCTTCTCAGTTGAGGTAATTTCGTTTATAATGGGAACGAAAAAAGGATCACATGTGTCTAAGTCATTTAGCATTGCTTCTTCTGAGATGCAATGTACATTTTTTACTTCCCGTTGAATTTCAGGACTTCGTCTTTTTATAGCACCATGGGCAGAGACTCCACTTAGGCAGTAGCCAGGAGACTGATTATTTAGTAGGTCATGTCTTCTGTTCTCTACTAATAAATATCAGTGATGTCGTACTCTGCCATGACAGAGGTCAGTGCCATTAAGTCTGTAAAATCTGTGCAGATTTGGTAAGGAAAATCTCAGGAAAGCACTGTATGTTTTGATCTTCTGGTACGAAGTTGCCTTACCTAGGAAGCTGGTAAAATGATTCTTGTCCTGCTGTAAGTTGTCCTAATTTCACGTAAGTTAGTTCTCTAGATGAATGAAAAGAAATCAAAAGGGCATGACAGGAAAGGGTCGGAGTCCTTTTTCCTGCAATGGCTGCCAGTATAGGCTGAAGAAATAAAGCAAAACTGGTTCCATCTGCAAGTAGCCTCCAACTTCAGTGACCTGAGCTTTAGTTTGGCCCACAGTAGAGCTGAGATTAAATAAAAATACAGGTACATCTTTGCTTTTTCTCATGTTTCGAGATGCAAGGGCTTGGAATTCAGTCTTTTCTTATTTATGTTGCAAGTAAAAAGCGTGGGAGGGAGGATGCTTCTGAGGCAGGAATCAAAAGTATTAAATAAAACATTAAATAGATGAGAGGAGGAAGAAAATTGGATATACTTTATTGGGAGAAGTAGAGGTAGTGTAGATAACATGAGCTAGAGGAGATTTATAATGAAGAAGCCATGGTTCAATCCCATACATGCAGATAAATCATGAACCTCAGCAGACAAAACCACTGTTTTAATTTATTACATGGATACCCTTAGGGTTTTGTACCATGGAAATTGTATCTGCAGTCCTTTTTACTTACCACTATAATGAAGCTTACTGTACAATTGAATAGATGAGCAATGTAAAGAAAGCAAATGTATATATTACCTAAAATGTACTGATCTAATCTGAAGGATGTTAATTAATTACCTGTATTTTGTAGTCTTTGGGGTTTTTTTTAGTGATTTGAGCTTTTTTTCCTATGTACATACCTTTCTTAAATGTGCAATATTCCTGTCTGCCTTTTCACATCTACCAGCTGTCCTATGCTTTTCTCAGTCAGTCCCTGCTGAGGACAGGGACAGGATAAAAACATTTGTCAGGGCATCAGGAAAGGTTAAAAAAACTCCTGAAGGGGTGGTGGCTGTAGGGTAAGCCCACTGCAGTGCTTGCTTCCCCAAGGGTCCGGACTGGAGTTTCTGCAGTACCCAAAGATTAGTCGGCAGGGATGGGAAGAGGAGGGGGAGACAGTGGTCTGGGTGTGGGGATGCTTGGTGACCGCTGTAAATGTCGGAGAATTCAGGAGACCGTGGTCTGGAGATCCTGCTGTGCCACTGACCTTGGGCAAATCGCTCCCCCCTTGCCCTTTCTTAGGCTATCTTGAAGAGCTCAAAATAGAAAAGGTTGGCATGACCTCGTGCCGTGATGAGCAGTGTTAGCTGGAACTGCGAGGAGTTGCTCTAAATCAAGTTAACAAAGGTAATAATCAGATCAAACTCGCTCTGAACCTCCCTACTCTTGATGGGGTATTGGGGGCTGTTCAACGATCTGACCACCACCTAGGTACTTTAGGCATGACCTGAAAATGCTTGAGGAATCGAGTTGAATGAGGTTGTTTAAATGGCATGTGGGTAGATAATGAAATGAAATACATGGCGAAATATTATTCTAGAATTTAGTGATTAGCTCCTTGCGGGATACATTTGAAGTAGTTGTGTGTGACTGAAAATGCTCATTTCCATTCTGCTAAACAAACCAGAAATTCTGGTTCAAGTCTTGGCTCTGCTTTGTCCTGCATGAGAATGGAAACTGCCCTGAGACCTCGATGTGGAGGCAGCCTCCTGCAAAGCTTCAGACTTAACAGTGCTGTCCAGGCTTGAAGCACCAGCAGAGAGGAGGTCCTTTAGCCAACATCTGTGTCACACTTACAAGGGGCTTCACTGCTGGACTACAAGAGGACAGTGCTGTAGACTGGGATGGTTTGTTCCCCTGGTTGTATTCATTGCATAGCCCAAGCCCAAGAAAATATATTAAATGATGAAAAAGGAGGTGAAGTCAGAATTATGTGAGTTTTTATTGAAATTCTGTTTACAGTGCTTAAAGAGTTTTGCTTAGAGCAGTATTTATGAAGATTTGTATTGTTTGCAGATTTTTCTTATGCTTTTCCCTTATCATGAATCAAGCAGTGGTCCAGCACACAGGTGAAAGAAGAAGAATAGTGACTAGAGAAAAAATACTGTCATAGACCATGAAGGGAAGAAAATTGCCAGTAGACTAGCAAAGCAGTCCAGCAGGACAGATTTCAATTTACTCTTAGTTACATATTAGGTTATTTAAAAAAAAAAAAAAAAGAAGATGAGGTTGTTTAAGATTTGAATTACTGCACAAAAGTGTAAACGTGTTTGCAGCCATACTAAAAGATAATTTCAGCTTTAGGAATGTAATCGATAGAGATTTATTTGTTCAAATGACAGATTGAGGGAAACTACAAGTTTTCATAGGTTTGTTACTGATGCACACTTGCAAAAACAAGAGATTGTTTTTGAAGACCTCCTAAAAATGAGAGCCTGACAGGTTTAATAATGGCCTTGAAATCAAAGCCTAGGCCTATGGCTAGTCACACAAAAATAACATGACATTGAAATGTTTTAAATGCATGATTGATTATGTAGTTCAAAGGATCCTTAAAGTTTTTAGCATTCTTGCTTTTTACTAGAATTAGTGTGATTGAAAGATGTGAGATACTTACGGTGCCTTTTTATTATAGGTTTTTAAATTCAGAGGTGTAATACAGATTCTGTCACACAGGATTTGACTATAATCATAGGAGGAAATCAGGGAAAACCTAATTCTGAATGTGTATTTTTATTTGCATATTTTTACTATATAGCAACTTTTCCTTGTATGCCAGACAGTTGCTCTTGATAAATCACAAAGAGCTTCAACCCTGAAGTGCTCCAGGTGATAAGTATTAGTGCAGCATGCAGGAATAATCTCTGTTTTATTTCATGCCAAAAATTACAGTAATCAGCAGAGCTGTTCCCTGAAGGATCCTTCATATGGGTGTAAGAGAACTTGTGCTTATTCCAAGACACTGAGTTTTATCTATTTATCAGTAGAAATCCAATTTCAAAGTACTAATTAGTTTGGAAATTAATAATGACCTTTAGACTGAGTGCTCAGATTAGATGCAAGTAGGAGTCAACAGAAAGTACAGCTCTACTTCTGAATGCCAGAGCAAAATGTTTGTTAGCTCTGAAGCTCTTTACTTAATTAGCTCTTCAGTATCTTCAGATCAAAAATTCTAAACCAGATATTTTACTGAAGCTCAGTTGTACCAGGAAGAGCTAAACTTTACCAGGTATTATGGTATTTGGACCAGGCCCTTTAAAATAATGGATTCAGCAAAGATCTTGGACTCAACCCTTGGCCAAGGGCTTCCAGTTCATTTCTACAAAGAGCGCTTAGTTCATCCTCCTAATAAAATGATATTTCTCTCTGTGATGTCAGTCTTCTGAAAGTTGCTATCTTATTATTTTCATCCACATGTTTTCAGCACAGGTGAGCAGCTGCCACCAAATAGCTCAGTTTCCAGCAGGACCGATCCTGGCACCCCCTCTGTCTGTTCCCTGACTCCTGTCTCACAGCGACAGCAGCACGGTCATAGCCGCTTGTTTCTGTTGCAGAGGGAGAGTCACTCAATCCTGCACCTTGTCCCCAGGGAAATCCTGCTATCACTGCAGCCCCGTGGCAGCCATTTTCTTAAACCGCGTCATCTAGCCCCATGAGAAGCTTTGCAAAAGCTGGGTTAGAGCATCTTGGCTCTTGCCCTTTGGTTTCTTTTTGCATTTAAGCCCCCATCAGCTAACCCAACGCAAGTCAACCCAAAAATAGACAGAAGGCCAAAGCTGATGAGGTTTGAGGGCTGACATCTGATGGTATTGCAGATCTTTCGATTATTTCTCGCTTTCATTTCCTGGAGATAAATTTTGGTCAGCTGTACTTTAAATATGCAGCATATTTGCCAATAAATACTGATGTTATTTTATCTTTGTGCTTGCTACTGTAATGTAGTTTCCGAAGGTGTACAGTTGCATTACAGTTTCCATATATTGATGCTGGTATTGTATTGTCTCGTACTCCTGTTACCTTGTTTCTTTCCGTTCTTCTATTGCAAACAGTGCCACATTTTTTAAAAAAAAGCTGTAGGTGCTAAAGAACATTAAGATTCAAATATATGAGTGCTTCTTAATGTGATTTATTCATTACTTATTTCCACCAAATTTTGTATTTAACATTTAATGTATTTCTTCCTAGAGGCAGCAAGAGAGCATTTGACTACATTAAAATTATAAACCCTCTACTCATAATAAATTCAGCATAAATTTTGACGACTGGCAGAAGCTAAGACTGAATGCAGTCAGGCAACTTAGGTGCTAATTTGCAGCCTGACAGGTTTTGACATGACAAGAGTCTGAATTCTGTTTGCTTTTATACAGATAACCTACTGGAGTCAGTGGAGAAAGTGAGACAGATTTTTGACTTGACAACTTTTAACATCAATAAAATTCTCACTCAGGAGTTTTTACTCAACATGTTGTATTTCTAATCGGCGTTCTTGCCATTGAGTTCAGTGGGCTTTGATTCAAGCAGCGTTCAATTTCTGTACAAAGTGAAAAGCAAATTAAAAAACCCAAACCATAGCAGGTTAGATATAGTACTTGAACAGAAAATCTGATCTTGGTAGAAGCCCGAAGGAGAAAAAAAATAGGCTTCAAGTCATGCCGTTTTCAGTCTGAAAAAATTAAGTCTTGAATAGAGTTATTATCATCTTGTGATGATAATTTGACATCACTAGTGACTGAATTAAAAGTATTTAATTGTTTTTTTTAACTGCAGTGCTGAATTTCATGGGGTTTTGATATTTGATTTGAGGATAATTCCAACATCTATGAATACTTTTTATATTTAAGTTAATGATGTGCTGTCATTTTTAATTGATTGTTTTATCCCTTCTGAGAATATTAAATGAGTTGTGTGTAAGGTGTGTTGAGATTCATTGCTATCATTGACATAATTTTTTCAGTATGCTTTGTCTACATTTGTTGTAAGTACTTTTAAATCACTTGGAAAAGTGTTTAATTCAAAATCTTTTGGCTCCCTTTTCAAACTGTAGTATTATTATCCCAGCTTTCCAAGCATGGTCCTTGAAGCAGAGAGTTACAGGAGGAGTATGTAATTTGTTTTTCTCCTACGGTGTGCAAAACTCAATACTGTTGGTTC